CCTGCTCAATGCAGGGATCCAAACCAAAGGATATCTGACCATTGGTTGTCTCGTTTCCTCCAAAATGCTTCTAGCGTTCTGATGCTCATCACCTCCAACGGGAATTGGTCCCAGCAGAGATAAATAAAACCCTCCCGATGACCGCATCCATAACATTAATGAGCTGTGTAGCGTTCTTGAATCCCAATCCAAAGCCTCCCTCCCATTTTTTAAAAATACCCACCGAAATGGAAATCTACAGAACCAGAGAGGGACTGACTTGGCATGTCATCCGAGAAGGACCCCTGCCTGGGATTCTTTACTGGGGCACAGAGTAAACCAAAGATCTCTGGACATCCCTCCTTGCAACTATCTTAGTGAAAAAGGGTTGGTATGTGACCAATATTAAAAAGCAGGGACCCCGTAACACTCTGTCCTCATTGAAGCTGCCCCCTTTTCCAATTACCAGCATGGATGGAAATTCTGCCTTCCGGGCACCGAGCGCATTGGTAACAACAGACTGGCTCCCCCTGCTGGACAATCTTGCTGTAACCAGGGTGGCAGCTCTCCATACAGGCGGCACGAGGAACTGTCTGTAAGGACATTCAAGAAGAAAAGGGGGAGGTTAAGGGAAATAGGGTCATTTCCTCAAGCTCACAATGATGATTGCAGGGTGCTTCCATTTCAGACGGCCAAGTTCTTTTTCAGATGTTGGTGACCAGGAAGGAAATCATCTCCCTGATCATGAAAGGCAACAAGGACCATGGGACAAACACGAAAAGGGAAATTTGAATTCTGAAAGAGCCACAACTTCATGCTTTGGCCAACAGATTACAGGGATGGCAGATTCTGGCCTTTCCTTGTAATAAGCTGGCAGGAAGAGAAGGTGAATGAAAAAAATGATGAACGAGTCCGTAGGCAGGGGGAGAATGCTAAGCCTGTTGTGGCCCATACAAAGGCCACTGAAAAGGAACTCCTTCATCCACACAAACAACTGGGGAGTGGAACGTGGAGGTGTTAGTTGATTTTCAAAGGGGAAGAGAGGGGGGGAGAAGGAGAGATTTCTGAGGCCATGTCTGTGTGTGTCTGAGTGAGAAAGAATAATGGCGTGGGAAGGGACCTATTAGCCCACCAAGTCTCTCTCCCTTATCAATGCAGGAACCTTACTTAAACCAAATTTAACTAATGCTTGTCCTAAAGAAGTTCCACTAAAGACCTAAGAGCACATGTCTTTGAAATGGAACCGAATTCTAATTTTCCCCAGGTTTTCATCCCTCATATGCATTGTCCCTTATTGCCTTTCCAAGACCCTTAAAATATGTTATGGAGCCACTACGGATGACCCCTCCTCATGGCCAAGAACTCTGGAGATGTATCCCTTCTTGTATGAGATCTCAATACAACGTCTTCTTCTCAAACCCAGTGTGGTAATGCTTAAATCATGGGGTTGCTTTCTAAACATCAAGGAGGATTGGGTGGCTTTCAGCCTTCCAAAAAGGAATGGACACCTGTTTGAACTTGGGATTCCACACAACGGCACTTCCATTCAGGGTGAACTTCTTTCCATCAGGACCATGAGGATCGATCCAACCAACACGCACTCTCTGGAAGGACCGATTGGGGAAGGTCACCAAGTTGTTGACGTCGTACCCAAGTTCCAGGTTCCCATTCTCGTTGAAAAAGATTTCATCCCCAACACTGTTGTTGAAGCGGACATTTCTCAGAAAAAAGTGAAGCTACATTTAGGGAGAGAAAGAGCTGCTTGTAGTGCAAATGGTAAGAGAGGGACTCGAATTATCTTTCTGGAATTTCAGTAAATGCAACTTTTCATTCATCAGCAAATGTTTGAATGATTCTATTTATATTAATCAATGTGAAGCCCACTGAGTGTGTCTTTTTGAAAGGCTGGAATTTCAGTAAATGCAACTTTTCATTCATCAGCAAATGTTTGAATGATTCTATTTATATTAATCAATGTGAAGCCCACTGAGTGTGTCTTTTTGAAAGGAAGGTAAGGGAGATATATAAGAATTGGTTTTGCCAGCACCATAACCCGATGGTTCTACCTGTTCCACAGCTCCAGAGTGGAATTTGAACACTCATCTCCACAATCCCAGTGCACCAGTCTACACACTATCCAGAAGTAGTTGGTACAAACCATAGATCCTTAGTAGTGACCTAAAAGTCAGTGTTGGCTATAAAAGCTTCCATGAAGTCCATATGAGAGTAAGAACATTATTAGGGCCACAGAAAGTGCAGGATTTCTCAGAGAGATTTTGAAAATATGCTCTGCCAGATTCTATCACTGTTCTGTGTTACTGGACATAGTATTTCATCTCATCAACTATATTTTATTTCTATATTGAATACCCCACCTTTCTCCCGACAGAGGGGTCCTGGGCAGAAGAATCAACATGTTTTTACCACTTCTTAAATCCTCAGGCCTCATTGAAAAATGGATGCTACCGTGTATGGGAAAGCCTCTTTAAATGTTCTTTAACCAAATACCGTATTTGCCAGCGTACAAGTCGACTGGGCGTATTAGACAGCCCCCCCCCAACATTTCCACTCAAAATATAGAGTGGACGGCTCTGCCGCGGCGCCAGCCACGGCTGTACAGGGCTCTGCCCGGGCCAGCCCTAGAGGTTCATGGCCGGAAACGACGAGGGCAAGATGGAAAGGGCAGGCGAGTGGGCGGCAGAGGAGGGGAAGGTGAAGCAGCTCTCCAGTGGCACACGGGTGAGCCTGCTCTGCTTCCCTCCCTCCCTCCGTCCGGACCGACCACCCTGCCTTCCTCTCCGGCCAGCGCAGCCCCGCGTCACTCACTTAATGGCGGTGGCGGCAGCAGCTCCTTCCTGGCCCAAATGAAGTGTACAAGATAAACCCCCAACTTGGAGGCATGTTTTTTGGGCCAAAAAAGTCATCTTGTACACCAGCAAATACAGTAATCCTCAGAAAGTGAACAGGTGGTGTCACTTCACTATGTTCTGGAAGAAATAGGGAGCTAAGGCATATTACATTGATTTCTCTATCTGTCCACAAGGAAGCTCCTTACACTTTGTCTGCAGCCTGGAGGAAGCCTAACTTACCTGCCAAGGTTGACCAGCCAAATGACCCTCTCTGTCTCTAGTCCTCATGGCTCTCTGTTTTGCTGTGGGTGAGGACATGGCATGGAGAGCATGTGCCACAGCATAGACCGCATTGTAGATACTGTAGCTCTGCCCAGACATTTCCAGCTCAAACAC